TGTGGCCAGCCTGGGAACATGGTAAGGGTATGGGATTTAGGGTGTAGGGTTTGGGGTTTAGGGGCACACATCGGAATAAATCCTGAAAGCCGCGCCATGAAGACTACCGTCCGACGGCTGACATGATAAGTTGTCAAACTTATCGTCCTTTCCGAGGCACCCATCATTGTAGTACCCACCCCCCGGCCAGTATCTGCGTAGGCTATTCCAAAAGGGACCATAGTTTTGCGGAGCCCCCACACCTTGAATCCCCTAAACCTTAAGCCCTACGCCCTAAACCCGAAGCCCTAGATCCTAAACCTTAAGCTCTACGCCCTAAACCCTGCAGGGCTATTTTAGATTGCATGTGGGTAGTTCCCAAAATTAAGATCCCATTTTGGTACCCCTAAATATGAGGTGCCGTAATATAATCTATAGCTTCAAAAAGGCCCATAGTTTTGAGAACAACTCATGTCAGTTAACCCTAAACCCTAAACCCTAAACCCTAATCCCTAAACCCCTAAGCCCTAAACCCTAATCCCTAAACCCTGCTTTAGATTGCATGTCAGCTTCACAGAAGGCATCGCCCTAAACCCTAAAACCCTAAACCCTAAACCCTAAAACCCTAAACCCTAAAAAGGCATCGCGTCACCCAAGCTCCACACAAGAAGCCTTTTCAACCTCGGCTTTGGCCAGCCCAGGCTTTTAGGATTGAGGGTTTAAGGTTTGAAGGTTTTGGGGTTTAGGATTTTAGGGCTAAAGGCTTTAGGCTGTAGGGTTTAAGGGTGTAGGGGTTAAAGGTTTGGGGTTTAGGTTCAGCATCCATGCACTAAAACTTACAACCTACACCCCAAACCATACACTCTGAAGCTTGAACACGAAGCCATACATTCGTGCTACACTAGAAGCCAGTTGGGGACAAGAGCTGGGTTGCTGTTACGAAGTTCAAGTTAAGTCACGATCACAAGGAAAGCCCATTATTTACTACATGGGCATATCCTGTAACTTAAGCCCTAAACCGTCAACCTGATATACACGTATTATGGTAACTTAAACTCTGAACCTGAACCCTATATACCCATATTAATAAGTTAATTTAAGCCCCTTACCAGCAACCCAGCAAAAGGGCTAAGCTTTCTGGCCGGCGCTTTGTCTCAAGACGGAACCTGTTCCTCATTCTGATTCTCATTTTGTAGCCATGACCAGGTAACATGGGGGCTTCCTAAACATCAGGTACCCCAGTAGTGCCTTTTCCGCTTTTTTAAATTTGGGGTCTCCTTATGAAAGCTGAGCATTAAACCAAGGGTACCCTCTTTATTCAGGGGTTTCTGGGGAACCTAGAAATCAGGGATGGTCCTCATAACAAGGATTAGAGAGTATATTGGGGCCTATATTGGGGTCCCGTAATTGGAACCAAGGCTTGTCCACAACGCCTTCCTCTTCGAGGATGGGGAGTTGAGTTCCGTGGATGCAGGTGAGAGTGTGAAATTCCAGAAGTAGTACCCTAAACCCCAAACCCTAGACGTTTAACCCTAGACGTTCCTGTAGATTTACGGGGGCTGTATAGGGATTACAATGTCTCTGCAGCAGGTGCAGGGGAAGGCGTTTGGGCACGTGAATCTAGGAGTAGGATTTAAGCTTTAGGGGGCTCTGTATGCTAAAGGAAAGAGATGCAACATATAAATCATACTTACATTGAGCCCCACAGTGTACAAATATTACCTACATACAGTGGTCTATCTGGATCCTGAGAGATTGGGCTCAGATGAGCGATCGAACTCTTTTGAGCAGCAAAATAGAAGCCTTTGCCTGCTCCACCAGGGACGAAACAGATATCCCGATTTTGAATACGCACATTTGGCTCTGAGACAGGAGTTGACAAAGGGCTAACCTTGTCCAACAAGATGAAAGCGGGAAAAGAGCGCTGCAAAGACTGCTGCTAATTCAACAGGAGACTACACAGGGATCTGCATAAATAGGGACCCAAATAAAAACCCCAATGCACGACACGATAACCCTTGCTGGCGGAACACCCAAACATGCACCCCTAATGTTTGGCAACCCTCATTGCCACGGATCCCTATTTAACTTAACCCCTATCAACCCAGCATCAGCTTTCTAAGGACCCCTTTTGCAGGTTCTAAGCCTTAAGCCTTAAGCCCTCAACTCTAATGTAGCCTGACAATAATAAACCCACCCATCCCTCCCCCTCCCCAGCAAGAAACACGTGTTTTGCGCTGTTGGTGTATGGAAGGGCGGTCGCAACAATAAATTGCCGGGACATGGGTTCGTCCAAGTAGTACAAGTAAAGCCTAAAACCCTGAACCCTCAATCTCAAACCTTAAATCCGAAACCTAGACTCCAAACTCTAGATTGCGGGCATGACTGGGTTCAGGGTTCAGCTGCTTCCAGTTTAGGCTTTAGAGTTTAGACTTCCAGGGCTCTGAAGCTTATATGTGCGAATTTGGGGTTTCAGGCTTTTAGGATTGGAATGCTTGCGGTTTAGAGGTTTCGGGCTTTGGGGCTTCAATGGTCCTGCGGAACTGACCCTCCGTCCAACAACCAAAATCCTAAACCGGGAACACCGCAATCCGTCCCAGACCCTGAAATTGCAGGATATCATATTTTTCCCTAAACCCTAAACCCTAAACCCTAAACGGCGGAGATATTCTAAAAAACTGCATGACAGGTTACCCAAGGGGAGGGCTATGCAGGGCCCAGGCAAATCCCAACGCTCAACAAAGGCACAAGCGCCCGTGAGACATCTCAAGTTGCTTCAGACGACGTCCCAGATGCGGGCACTGCACCCTTTCCATCCCAGCTGCCAGGCTAAAGCCCTAAACCCTGAGCCGTTAGGGTTTACCAACCAAGCGGGACCCCGAAGTTGCGGCTCAGGGTTGAGGGCTTAGGGTGTAAGGCTAGGGGCCGTGAAATTATGACTTAGGCTATACTTGGCGGGGCGATCTGTGAAGTTCTGTGTCTCACAAATTGTAAGTGTATTTACTTATGCAGCTAAGAAGCACCTCTGTGGTCCTGGGGTTTAGGAGGGTTTAGGGTTTAGGGTTTAGGGTCTATAGTCTAGGGGTTGAGGGTTCTACGGGTTCAGGGAGCAGGGTCTGGGATTGCTCAAAGGTGGGCTTGTAATGGCTTCCCCGACCAGCCCCCTCCAAGGCTGTCTCTCATTTTTTTTTGTGTGTGTGAATGTGCTAATTACGGGGAACCTTAGAACTTAGGGGGGTGAAGTATAGGATGGGCTAGGAGAATGACTCAGGGCCGAGTGTAAAGTGCCTTCCTTGCAATGCCATGGCCTAATATAGTCCTTCTCATACCTTGCAAGCCTTCAGTTACCAGCATTTGCTATTAGACCTTAAAGGCCCCTTAGATCCACCCAATGATTTATTAGGGTCCCAATAGGGAATGCTAGGGTCAAATAGACCGTACTGGTATGTTCACCGCAGCTCATTGGAACTTTTTGACGTTGACAGGCACAAAACAAATGGGACATAGGACTCTAGGGCTGAGGTGTCTTAATGGTCACTCTAGCAAGCATGCATCACAGGTATCCTGCTAACAAGTAGATCTTGGGTACGCTGGATAAGATTCAAAATGCAGTATGTATAGTCCTTAATAAGACTGTTGCAGGGTGGAGGCAGTACCCAAAGTAGATCATGCTAGGAGTGTTCGGTGATCTGGGTTTACATCTGGTGTGTTTTCCTCGTGGGCGATTCCCGTAAAGCCAGGGCCTTAATATGGAGCCTCATATACTACACCCCTTTTGAAGGGGACGCCCAGAAAGATGCCTCACTTTTTGGAAGCTCCAACATCATTGTTGGAGCTCCTGCTTGAAGCCCAATTCAGTGGTTCAGAGAACAGAAGTTCCAGTTCCCCTAAATCAAGGTTACCACCAACCAAATATGGAGATATAATCAGAATGCGGTTTCCGACTTAGATCAGCTCAGTTGAAGTTCCCTGTTCGGCAACCCAGGAATATAATTTGTCCCTCGAGTTTAGGTTGTACTTAATGGCTGAAAAGTACGGGCAAAGATTATAAGATGGTTTCCTCTTCATATCGTAACCCTGATACCATGAGTTTGCCTCACAACCCCTAAACACCTTCCCCAACCAGAATAGTGGGGGCGGCAAACATTTGGAGGCCGGCATTCACCAGGCTTCAATGTTGAAGGTTGGCGCAGAACGGGTTTCGTGCACACTCCAACAAGGTAGTTTGAAGTTTCGTCGCCAAGGTAGAAGCCTAAAGTATCTGGTATGAGCTACAGTGTAGACTCCTTCACGGGGCTATATAGGGGATGATATAGGGGAGTACGATGGGGGTTCTTAAGGGGGTAGCTTGGAGTTTAGACTATAGCTAAGTAACCTTCAGAAGGGGGAACACTGTGAGGTTTAGTAGGGCAACCAATGATTACGTGCACACTTTATACACTGCGATTCTGACCTATTCGTGCCTCAAGGTGTGTGACACCGTAGACTAGACATGGAGCCTCAGGTTGTCAATATTGTGTTCCCTTGTTTGGGCACCCTGTCTACCAGGGATCGCGCTATGGCTATAATGGGTACTCAACAAGGAACAATGCATTTGACAACTCTCCACATGGAGTTCCTGTCTACATTTGTGGCATAAATCTGGCGAGATCTCTCCTTACAGAAGTACTGCACATCCTGCGAAGCGAAAGTCTGGCCAAGTAATTGAGTAGTATTTTATTTGGGGATACGATGGTACCCAATATAGAGTAAGACAGTACTTTCCTTTTAAATATTGTATTTTATATCTGGAATATGATCCTGCACTGTTGGACGCCCTGAGTCTTAATCCCGAGGTACGAAACTAGATTTAGCGCATAGAGGACCCGGTTCAAACTCTACTTGGAGGGTCGGGGGACTCAGTATAACTTTTCTAGTCCGTATGATGACCCCAGCTATCCCAATTTAGTAACGAAGTGCCCTGAGCTTCCAAGTAAGCCCTAAACCCTAAACCCTAAACCCCTGAAAAGCTCCAAAACGAGGCCGCCCTGGCTCTCGAGCTGCACCTTGGCAGGATTCTGTCCCGAAGGGTTCATGTGAGCTATAGTCTAAGCTCTTTAAAGGGGGTTATATAGGGGACTACTATAGGGGATATCAAGGGGGATACTAGGAGTTGAGACTATAGCTGATGTAGATGTATAATACAGTCTGTATAGCAGACACTTGTGCCTCACAGTCTTTATATGAGAGTCCTTGTGGGCCCTAAGTGTATCGTATATACCTACGTGGACTGTTCGGTGATGGGCGTTGGGGTGTAGGGGTTCAGGGTCCAGGGTCTGTGTTGTCGGTTTAAGGAAGCCCCTCCATGCTTACATTTTTCCCGAAATTTCTGGATTATGCATGCTTCGCGTAGAAGCCTAAAATAGTTTCCAATATTACAGCATGCTATTGGGTCATACAGGGCTTACAATGATGGAGAATTGAGATGGGAACTGGGTTGATATGCTGGCAGTGTTATCAGTATTGTAGTGTTAGAGTCCTTGTATAGCTATAGATAGTAGAGGGTACCTTGAATAGACCTCTCGATTCTTAATTTTGGTATGGTGCTTGTTCAGGCTGCCAACATTAGGTATGGTCACAAACTTTCCTGAACACTGCGCACGCCCTCGCGAAAATCTGATGGTTTTTGGAGCTGCATGCTAAGTTCTGGCAAGGCTGCGAATAAGGGTTTTAAGGTTATGTGCCAGGTGGGTCCATTCCCTAAAGCCTATAGTCCCCCTTTAGATGGAACATGGCTTTGGGTACATAATTATGAGATCCCCATATACCTCATATTCTATCTACTCAAGGGGGACTATAAGCCCTGAACCCTTCGTGTCGTCCTTCAGGCTTTTTAGACGGGATGTGTTGACAAACTACTAACAGATCCTCATACAACAGGAGGCTAGGCTCATAGCTTGAGAGGACATGGGTGATGTATGGGTTTTGGGGGTCTGAGAGGCATGGGTTGATCTCCTTCAAATGGTTGGTTCAGGATTTAGGCTGGAGGGGCGATTGTATGCGTTCAAAACTGCTGTCTTGCAAAGGGAATGCACAGCACCAGCATTGCCTACAGTAATGTTGACTCTCAAAACAAGCGAGAGATGGCCAAACAGTTGGTGCAACCACATTTCTTTGGTTAAAGTGCTTACCCTAGGAAGCCTAAACCCTCAACCCCTTAATGTCCATCATGTCCTCATATACCCCCCTAAACCTAAACCCTAAACCCTTCAGATAGCCCCTGTAGGCTTATCCCCTTGAGTTGCTTCGTCTGTATTTGAGGAGCTGGCTGCCACTCAGCCGCCTATCCTCATTTGTACGGTATTAAAGCTGTAGGCTGTACTCCAACCCTACACCCAAACCCCCCAAAACCCTGAACCCTAGACCCCAAAGCCTGAACCCCAAGCCCTCAACCTCAAACCCCAATCCCTGAACCCTAAACCCCAAATCCCGAACCCTAAACCCCAAACCCTGAACCAACAACAACACAACTCAGGTGAGACTTTCCGGCATGCCACGCAATGGTCTGCTTCTGTGCAAGCTGGAGCCACCTGCCATTCTGAACATCAGATGAGGGTTTAGGGTTTAGTACTTACCCTAAGGGTCCAAGTACCCAAAAGTTATATACTTACCCAAAAGCTATATTACTCAAAACCCAAGTACCTTATTATTGGGTACATGGACCCTCTGGGTTAGGTTTTTGGGTTTTGTTTGGAGTTTGGGATTTAGGGCTTAGAGTTGGGCCTTAAGGTGATGGGTTTGGCGACTAGTGTTGACGGTTTGGGGTTTAGGGCGCGGGAGTTTTTCCTGTCTTTTTGGTGCTTTTTAGGGAAATGAGGATTGGATCCCTACAGTATCTGTCTGTTTATGAAGGTTCTTCAGAACTCGTCCATGTGACCCGTTTGTTGATTCTCTAACAGCCACCCATGAGACATGTGGAGAGTGGGGGAATAGATCCGTATAGTAACCCTTGTAAAATCCCCTATGTGTACTCATATGGTACCTATATTCCTCCCCCACTTCCCCTGAAGCACATGTAGGTTTAGTTCCTTTGTGTTTAGCAGGGCTGCGTCACATGATCGGCCGACTACGGCTGGCTGCCCAAAAATGCTCAGAAACGGTCTGGAAGGGGCCCTAAACCCGCTCAGAAACGGTCTAGCAGAGGCCACAAACGCTCAGAAGAGACGAAAGCGCTTGTTGAGGGTTTGAGGTAGGTCCCACTGAACCCTAAACATTCGACGCACGCCCTTAGACCTAAACCGTAAACTGCGGGCCTTTCTGAGATCCCAGGCTTGCACCCCCCTAGGAGTCCGAGGACCCACATAACAGGCTTTTAGGGCCCAAATACCAATATATGAATGGCATTGGGGCCCTAAACCCCTATTCTTTGGGTCCTGGGACCCTTGGGGCCCTTGCATCTTGGCCTAGGACATACTGTGGATCCCTGCCGGATGGCTTCTTGTCCGTTTCATTCCATCCTGGAGTCTTCAACAGTTGTGTACCTTATGTTCGGTGTCTTTACCGTTTTATGGGGTCTACGGTACTGTAGCCTGGACTCTCCGATGTAGCTTTTAAGGGTGGTCGAGCATTTGTGGAAAGGATTGCTGCTAGGGCCTCCACAAAACGCACATCGCTGCAAGATTTGAGGTAAGCCCTTCACCCCAAACCCTCCAGGTATATGGCAGTTTTCCTAAATTGGCGGACCCCAATATGGACCCAATCCATTGTAATCCCCATTGCACGTCCAAGAGAGACCTCCAGCCCCAGTTTTTTGAACCCCCACATGGGGTTGAGGGTTCATTCGCAATCGGGTAGGCTCGCAGTACGCGCCATTGCCTTGTTCTTGGGGCTACTGGCGTCCTTCAGGTGTGTATGTCTGTGTGTTTGTGGGTGCGGTGTGGATGTATGCATGCATGTACGTATGCATATATATATATACATACGTCTTATACGTTCGTACGTGCGTATGTCAATGCGCAGTATGTGATAGGTGTCCAAGACGTCGGCCACAGCTCCTAGTTCCAAGATACCCCAGACTGACAATCAGTTTACCTTTTGGATTCGTTGGTGCTTGGTCTGAAGAATGCCCATGTACTGAGAAATACATTCATACTGGGATCATGTGTATGAGTTCGGCAATATTTGCGACCTTAGGGGGTCTTGGGCACTGTGGGTAGCAGGTAGTTGATATGTTCTGGATACGCAAAGTACATAATTGGGGGTATAGTGCCGCTCTTGGATTCTAGGTTCTATCCAATTACGTACATTCGTTTATGAGTCATTGGTCTTGGCATCGAATCAGGACATGTGCATGAGGGCAGAGAAAAGGATCTAAATGGAATCTGCCTTACAGCAAGATCCCAAGTAGCCGCCCTAAGCCCCAAAGCCCTCAATCCTAAACCCAAAACCCTAAGCCCTCAATCCTAAACGCTGCGCTCTCAACCCTGAACCCTGAACCCTAAGCCCTCAATCCAAAACCGTAAACTCTAAGCCCCGAGCCTGCAACCCCGCACCAATCCTTTCCAAGGGTTCGAAGTTGCTACTCTCCATACTCGGGCCCTTTGGTCCGAAGAGTATGTAGACTACTTGGAGGCCCAAGCCTTAAGGGTCCAAGTGCCCAATAATCATGTATGACCTAGACTCTAAACTCCTTAAAGGGGTTACATAGGGGATTCTATAGGGCAGTATTATAGGCCTTATTAAGGGGCATACTAGGAGTTTAGACCATGGCTCATGTACTTCCCCCAAACCTGTACTACAAGTACTATTACGAGAATCCCAGGTACCCAATGATCAAGTACTTGGAACCCGAGGGACAGTGATTACAACCCAGCGAGAGCTGTACAGGCATAATCTGGGTGGAGCCGCTGCTCATGACCAGTTGGATATATATAGAGCCTTTAATTTGACCCCTACTATAGACTGTTCATGTCTTGGGGCAGGACCCAAGCCTATAGACCTAAACCCCCGAGTAGTTGTGTCCATTTAATTTTCCATTTTCTTTTCCATTTGAAACTCCATTAATGGGGGCGTAATGGGGAGTAATATCCCTAAACCCTAGACCCAATTGCTGGTCCCCTAGGTCCCCTATGTATGGTTCGTGTTGGCCCACCTGTAGCTCCATTCATATTTGGTTCAGGATTTAGCGGGACCTCCACGTACAATTACATGATAGGACCTCTAAGCCCTAAACGGACCTTCCCCTAAGGGTCCAAGTACCCAATAATCATATACCTGCCCAAAACCTGTACTATAATTACTATTACCCAAATCCCAAGTACCTAGGTATTGGGTACATGGACCCTAAACCCTATATATCCCTATATATCCCACTACATCCCTAAATACCCTATATATCCCCTTTAAAGGGACCTAGTTATTGGGTACATGGACCCTCAGGGTTCTGCGTAGTGTCGCATGAATCCTTGGAGCCCTCAAGGCTCCGGGATTTTCGTTTGAAGGGCGCCTTCAGATGAGTAGTATTTTATTTGGGGATACTATGGGTTTAGGGTTTAGGGTTTAGGGCCCTATAATGGAGAATCAAATGGAAAAGAAAATGGAAAATGACATGGAAACTGGGATTCTATAGGGGTTAGATGAGTAGTATTTTATTTGGGGATACTATGGCACCCAATATAGAGTAAGATTATATCCTCCCTTTGGGGTATAGTATTTTATATAAGGAATATTATCTGACTAGGTTCAACCACCAACAAAACACGACTCAGATGGAGAGAGGTGTATAGGCCCGTGGGCTTTAATCACCCAAAGCAAACGGCATGTCAAATCAGTCTCTTCATACCAACATTAAAAACCCAGCTACCCAGAACGTTAAACACGTCCTCTCATATAGAAGGTCTCTTGTAGGTACTACCAGAAGTAGCGGGGTGGGGATTAGCATTAAATGGACCCTGACAATGACTGAACTCCACCTCCAACACCAACAACATCCAAAACCACAGCCCCCAACTGCTCAATCCCCAACCCTAGCCCCCCTCAACACCTTCCAAACTCTTCAAAGCCGCGTCAAACCTCACGAACCCGAAATCCCCCAAGCCCAGGCCCTAAACCTCCCCATAAACCCCAAACTCTTCATCCAAGTCAACCCGGAAAATTCATAGGGTTTAGGGTTTAGGCCGGGAGTCCAGGTTCCACACCCTCAAAAGCAAGGAGGGCTCGGCGGCGGTGTCCATTTTCAATCGAGGCAGCCTTGCATGCCTCAGGGTTTCGGGCTTATGGGTAGTTCCCCAAATTCGGGTCCCTTTTTGTACCCCTAAGTATTAGGTGCCGCAACCCAAAGGGCCCCAAGTTTTGGGAAGCGGCCTTATGGTTTAGGGTTTATAGGGCTAGGCTGTAGGGCTAGAAGTTGAGGTTTGGGTTTAGGGTTATGGTCTAAGGTTTACATAGGCTTACGGTCTAATTAAGGTTTCGGGTTTATGGGTCCAAGTTGGTATACTTCGAGGATCATGAGATTCAAAAACTGCGTCTACAGAGGTTCGAAAGCTGCAAATAGCTGGGCTTCAAACCCGCATGAACCCTAAACCCTCAAGAGCATGGCAGCCTCCCCCCCCAATCCACCGTATCCCTAAATTCTAGACGTACGGGTACCCGAACCCTTTGAGCAGAAGGTTATTCACCACCACGCCCTTGTTTCGTCATTCTAGAGATGGGTGTAGCATCTAAGGTTTAGGGACCATAAGGGTCCTGTCACTCTTACGCAGGAATTCCCAACTCAGGCTAGAAAACTGGCTGGGATTATAGCAAGGTTTTGGGGTGGGTTTAGGGTCTAGAGGGGGGTGGGGGCTTTGTTTCGGAGGGTGGCGTGGCGATTTCGAGTTGTGGCTCAGAAGAGTTCCTCAGCAATGAGTGAGACGGGCGCGCAAAGGCATGAGCAGCTGCAGTCGTGACATCTTTGAGCTTTGGATTTCCAGAGCACGTTTGAGTTACGTTTCCGCTGCTGAGATGGGAGGACTGCAATCCTAACTAAGGGCAGCTGGACCTGGTAGTACTACCGTGGAGGTCAGTTTAGTGCTTCCAAGTTTTACAGTCGCAGAGCAGTGCTTGGGGAAGGGCGGGCCTGAATAACTACAAATATGATGGTGCTAAACTTATTCAAATGGGGATTGCTGACCTAGCCTGCCCCCACCCCCCCCCCCCGAAAAGTGACATCGGGCACCAGGAGTGTATTTCGCCAACGGCTGGACTGGGACCACTTCATGATGCTATAGGACTTAGACTGCGCCACGCAACCTGAAACCCCAAACTCTGAACCAACCCTCGACCCCACGACCCCAAGCACAACCCCACTTTGAGCCTGCGATCCCTAAACCCTAAACCCTACAAGAAACCTTAAACCCTAAACCCTAAGCGATTGAGGCATGACGGTTGTGCCCGAGCTTGTCGTCTCTTTGCTTGGCTCCCACTTGTTCCAGGCCGATGGGCCTTGCCTGAATGCCCAAAAGTATCAGGACACCAGGGTTTAGGGTTTAGGGTTACCCCAAATACCCTTAAACGAGGTGTATGTAGCTCCTACCTGTAGCATTTGAGCCTCAACCACGACCCCCCAACATACCCTTAAATAAGGTCTACGTAGCTCCTCTTCGTGATGCTTGAGCCTCATAGAGGGCTTCTTGGGCGGTCTGGGTATGAATGGCCAGTGAAATACTTCCCAAAAGCGACCCAAATAATAGGGCTTCAGGGCCCAAATACTATAATATTCATGGTATTTGGGCCCTAAAGCCCCATGATTTGGGTCCTTGGACCCTTAGGGGTTGATGCCAAGCCTCAACCATAATTCCCGAGTAAAAGGTACATATGCATGATTTTTAGTATTTACCGTATTATCTCCCTGTATGACCACACATCCCTGAAGTCTCGAATGCTCTGAGGCAAAGACCACTCGAGGAACAGCCGATAAGGTGTTCTAAACAGAATAGGGTGCTAAGACTTGCTGCCTCCCGCAGAGACTACAGAGAGCTTTCTTTTAAAAAGACACCCCTGAAGTAAATAGGCTGTAAACTTTAGGCCCGAAGACAGGGCTTAGACTTGTTTATTCAGGGCCCCCGCCTGAGTATGTTGGGTAAGGGTAGCTTTGTCTTAGAGGCGCACGTGCAAGGTATGATCCAGTTTTTGCCCCCTTGTAAGTTTCGCAGTGGGATGTAGAGTCCTCATCCTAGCGATCTCCCACAAAACTGAGCACCGAAGCGCGCACAAAGATGATCTTGCCAAACCCTTAAGCCGATACCTCTACACCCTATGCACCCCACAATGCTCAACAGATTCCGTCTGTAACTTCGATAGGTCTTTTGCATGCACAGCAGCTTACAACATAGCATTGTCCGAATGCCTCTTCAGTGCCGTTGATTTCTCGATCCTTCAACTTAATTCACGCACAGCTCAAGCTTACGCGCAGCTTCACGGTTGCAAGTATGCCAGACTTTCTGTGGTACCTTTTCTTGTTGGTGGTTACTGGACCATAGAGGAATGGCTTCCGAAAGTAGGCACCTAGGTATATAGCAGTCCCGAGAGTTTTTCATGTAATTAATTATCCTATCCTGTTCGATTACTGAATTCCCTTTCCTAGACAGCGCCAGGTACCTATACAACCCAATCATACAGAAAAGGTCAGGTGTAGGATTTAGAGTTTACGGCCCCTAGTTCTCGTTGTAACAACGAGAACTATAGTTGCAACCCAGTTTTGAGACCCCAGAGGCTCCGAAGTATCGTTCTAGTGCATTTGCAATTACAATTGAAACTTGAGTGTACTCGCTCTAGGAGGCTCAAGACACAGCTTCTGTGTCCTGAAGCCCGAAACCTCAACCTCATCTCTTTGAGTTGGGAACCTGAATAATGACAGTTGGTTCAGGATTTAGAGTTTAGGGTTTAAACATTTTGCATGACCCTAAGCCCTTTACCAAGTAATTTTGACCTTGGGAAGGTTGATATTTCAGTATACTTCCCTGAACCTTGAACCTTAAACCCTATATATATATATATAACCCCATTATTGTAGTTTCCATTTTCTTTTCCATTATCCCGATATAACCCTAATATATTCCCTATAATCCTCATACAACCCTTTTATAACCCCTATAATCCCAGTAGTTTCCATGTTCTTTTCCACTATCCCAAGTATACTTCCGCCAGGCAGCACAGCATGCGCCAAATGCAACGCCAACCAGCAGGGCCCATCAGCGGACACCTGCACGTTGTGCGGCTTCAAATGAGTTGTAGTCTAAACTACACTCCTTAAAGGGCGTTATATATGGGATTCTACAGGGACTACTATAGGAGTTATTAAGCGGGATACTAGGAGTTTAGACTATAGCTCCAGTCTGGAAGTGAGGAACTATTGGCGGAGCCAACTCCAGTTCTACATGCGGCGGATTCGTCATGAACAAATGGGGCCGGATAGCGTGGAGCACGCTTGTTTGCTGACTGAAGCAAGGCGGCTGTCCAAGCTAGACACCAGTCACCATAAACCTCAAACTCTAAACCTGTAAATCCCATAGCCTAGAGACCCTAAATCCCCGAATCCCCCACTCGCCTGGCTGATGCCTCAAGGACGAGTTGCGAGTAATTCCCCTCCCCATAGTTTAGGGCTTAGGGTTAAAGGTTAGGGTTGGAAGGCCTTGGGGGTTAGGGTTCGGGGAAAACCGCTTCATCTGCTAAGGTTTGGGGTTAACAAATGGAAGCTGAGCATAGTAAAGCTGCAGGTGTGTATACTATCACCTGTAGGCAATCCCGTATAGCCCCTTTGCAGTCAGATTTACCAAACCAGTTTCCACATGGTTTTCCAGTCCAGTCTCCACTATTGCAGTGTCATAAAACCTTAATTTCTTAATTAGCAGCCCTATTGTTTCCCAGGGCCGGTAGAGACATTAATGTTGGAACAACAGCTCAGAACTGGTTGCCCAGATAGCATAGTAGACCATTGGGCTCCGACAGTCAGTTATTTAGGGTTCAAATGCTAGGGTTTATAGAGTTTAGGGTCTAGAGTTTCTTGTGGCATTTCGCTGAGGTGTTATGGTGTACTCTGCAGGAAGAGCTACATGAAAGGTTTTGCAGACCATCAAACCTTAACAGTAAGCTTCAATCCCCAAGCCTTTGTATATAGTCCCTCTTCAATAGATAGAATATGGGGTATATGGGGATCCTATCATAATATACCCTATCTACTTAAGGGGGACTATAAGCCATGGCAGGCGTTTCGGGAGTCTGCCGAGTTGGACGATGCCCAGGATGCGCTGGCGGATGAAATTCTGCGTGCGTATTTCGGCCAAACTTCGCCAGGTCTAAGGTCACCCTATACACCCCCAAGGGTCCAAGGACCCAAATAACAGGGTTTCAGCGCCCAAATACCATTGATATTATAGTATTTGGGCCCTAAAACCCTATTATTTGGTATCTTGGACCCTTAGGGCACATTTAGGGTTTAGGGCTTAGGGTTTCTAGACTGGACCCCAAACCCTAAGCCCTTAATTCTAAACCCTATAGACTTCCCATGGCTTAGGGTTAGGATATAATGTTGGTGGCTAAATTCAAGCAACCGCCTAGAGCTTCGGAATCTGTAGCAGTACCCTGCTGATCCCCCAGCTTTGTTGTTTAAAGGGACTTTAAATGGGAACTTCAAAAAGGGAACCCCAAGAGTATAGTAGGAATATGATAGGAATATACCTAAATTCCTATTATATTCTTGGGGTTCCCATTAAAGTCCCTTTCTTGTTAGGATTCTTGCCGGGATTCGCTGCCTGGACTTAGAAATTGGATAAGTAGACTCATGATTATTACAGCCCCCTCCTCTAAATAGGGATTATAGTAGGGATCCTAAGATTTAAGGCCCTTGAAGGAGGGGGTTTATGAATAACCCCAAATAATAGTAGTTTCCATTTTCTTTTCCATTATCCCTATATCATCCCTATATTCCCTTATATTACTATATTACCCCTATAAGGTCCGTAAAAGCAGGGGGTTTATCAATCGCGGGTCTACATGAAGGGACGCGTGTCTTCAGACATTCAGGGCAATGCCTGCATGCATTTTGGTTTCGGTACCGGTTGAAAGGGACCCACACAGCTGGGTGTTGGGTTCAGGGCGAAAGTCAGGGTTTGTAGGGTTTAGGCTTTAGGGTCCGCACAGCTTGTAACGAACGAACCAAACTCCTTATACCGACTTCTGTTACTGTAGAAGACGTGATCAGCACTATTCCGGTCTCGGACTCCTTGTAGGACTATGGCATAGGACATCTCAAGTATACCTCAAAGTGATATTGGTAATTATTTATCGCCCCTATAGTCCATCATCCCCTCAGAAGCCCTACATAAACCCAGCATCCATTTTGTCTCCCTTTCTCTTTCCGAATTGATTCTACGCTCAACTGCTTGCAACCCTTGGCAAGGCCTTTTACGCAGAAAGCTTGCCTGTCCTGTCGGTAGCTTGCGTTTTGGGGTAAGATGAAATCCAGAACGAGTCTTAGGATTTAGGGGTTTAAGGTTTGGGTGTTTGGGGTTTAGGGCTCAACATCGGAACAGCCCCTAAGTACCGGACACCCAGGAAGCAGAGCCCTACTCCTGAAACTTATTCCATCAACTTATTTGAGGTTGTTAGGAGATATGGGTTCTTTATAGGGGGTGATATAGGGACTAAATATGACCGGGATCCAGTCCCTCAGTCAATCAACAAAATCCTACACCCTACCATAAACCTTAAACCCTAAACTAGAACCCTAAAGGGTTTAGTGTTTAGGCTAGGGCCCTAAACCCTAAACCCTAAACCCTAAATTAAAACCCTAAACCCCAAACCCTGAATTAAAACCCTAAACCCTAAACCCTAAAACTAAAACCCGAAACCCTAAACCCTGAAATTAAAACCCTAAACCCTAAACCCTAGAATTAAAACCCGAAACCCTAAACCCTGAAATTAAAACCCTAAACCCTAAAATTAAAACCCGAAACCCTAAACCCTGAAATTAAAACCCGAAACCCTAAACCCTAAAATTAAAACCCTAAACCCTAAACCCTAAAATTAAAACCCGAAACCCTAAACCCTGAAATTAAACCCCGAAGCCCTAAACCCTAAAATTAAAACCCGAAACCCTAAACCCTAAAATTAAACCCCGAAACCCTAAACCCTATAATTAAAACCCGAAACCCTAAACCCTGAAATTAAAACCCGAAACCCTAAACCCTAAAATTACAACCCTAAACCCTAAACCCTGAAATTAAAACCCGAAACCCTAAACTCTAAATTAAAACCCGAAACCCCAAACTCTAAATTAAAACCCGAAACCCTAAGCCGTGTAGGGAGCCTCTTCGTGACGCCAAGGCATCCGGATCTAGATGGCGTGGATCAGTCGGTGCCTGGATGCTTTTTAGGGTTTAGGGGTTTAGGGTTTTAGGGTTTAGGGTTTAGGGTTGTAGGGTTTTAGGGGTGTAGGGGTTTTAGGGGTTTAGGGTTTAGGGTTTTAGGGTCTAGGGTTTAGGGCTTAGGGTTTAGGGTTTCCCTAAACCCTATACATGTACCCTGAACCCCCAGTGATGGACTAGCTACCCACCTCGCTGTATACTACTCCTTCGCAACATGGACATCAGCTAGACTCACCCTAAACCCTAAACCCTAAACCCTGTCAAACAAGTTCAATTTTAGTTTCTCTCAGGGCCCTCACTGAAGGTAGTATAAGGGTGGCAGGGCATGGCAACCCATGGCTCAGTAGTGGCTGTTTAGGGTTTAGGGTCTAGGGTTTAGGGTTTAGGGTCTAGGGTTTAGGGTTTTTCCGGATTCGGATGAAAATGTAACCCTAATCCCTGAGCCCTATAGGCCGGTCTCCTAAAAGCCCCAAACTCTTAAAAAAAAAGAGTGTAGGCTTTAGGCTACACCTACATGGAACTCCCCAATACCCGTCAGAATAGCCTATATACACATTATTTTGGGAGGTCAACGGCCATCATTAGAGGTATTCTGAAGGTCCGGGTAGACCCTTTAGGGTTTAGGGTTTAGCGCCCTTTCCATAAAGCTCGGAATCGCATGAACCTGTATGGCAGTTGCCCCAAATAGGGTGATCCCAATATAAACCACACAAGACTCGATTCCTTATGGCGTGACCCCCAAAAAGGCACCCCGAAATTTGAGAAGGCCACATATAGTGTTTAGGGCTTGAATGCCCGGAACCGCCCTACAGCCCCTAACCCTTCAAGTCTTAGGAGGAGTCAAACGTTGGCGAAGCCGCAGCGAACATGCGCTTGGCCCAGAAACTGGAGGCGGCCGGGAGCTTTTCTAGAATTTCAACATTTTCCGTAGACACTTTAGACCCCAATCTACTATGGTCCTTATTATAAGGACCACCTAACACTGGTACCCTCCAATTCTAGGAAGCCGTAAACTCTCTCCATGGCGAGTTTCTTAAGGCACCTTCTGTGGGTGCAGGGCGGGTCTAGCTCCACTGCGGTCCGCTCAGAGGGTTTTTTTGCATGTTAAGTCGTTGTCCTAGGGTTTAGGGTTTAGGGTTTAGGGTTTCGCTCAGAGGTTTTTTTTGCATGTTGAGTCGTTGTCCTCTTCTTCAATAGGAGACTGTGGCTCTAGGGTGTAGGGATTTTTCAGCAGGAGCTAAGCCCCGAAGGTCCAGGTACCTATAGACTGCCTGAGGCCCAAAAGGTTAGGTACTATGGGGCCCAAGAATTGATTGTATAGGCATTTAATTAAAGACCTCTTATATACCGCTGTGATCCTTGCATAGGGACCCCAATGTTGTGGAAACCCCAATGTAGGCATCTGCACCTTTTGGTAGTCGCAAAAATCAAAGCCGTAAACCCTATACCTTAACCCTAAACTCAGGATTATGATCCGCGGTTTAGCGTACGGAGTCTCCTCAAATCGTTCAAGTCCTTTGTTGGGGCTCCTTTAAAATGAGGACCAAGCAATTGGGGGTATCTATAACATAGGGAGACCCTAGTTCAAGGTTTAGGGTTCGGGGCTTCGGTTTTCAGAGCTGCCCATGTTGGAGGTAAAGTACACATTGGGTTTCACTAGAAATGAGGGTGTAGGGCTGAGTTGTTTTGCTGTGAGTGCCTCACTTTTGTTTTGCATTCAAAAATACCCAACGTCGTACAGTAGTTAGTACTCAACAGATCGGGTTTGGGAAGACAAGACCATGCTCACTACTCTGAGCATGGGTGCATTGGGTGTACATTGTGCACAACAGATACCGAAGCCCTGGTCCTAGACTCTGATGAGTATGGGCGTACGTGGCACTGGAGGCGAATGATGAGCTCGCAAAGTGAACGACTGCCGCATGCAGATGAACATGTGGAGTGGCGGTTCTACGAGAACCTCACTAGGAAGACGGTGATCGAACGGTCCGACGACTTGCTAACCCGTGACGAGCTTATAGAACATGCCCCCAAGGTCACTCAAGCCATCCTGGATGAGCTTCGCATCTGGACGAGCTTCAGGTGTTTTCAAAGATGCCCACGTAAGGGTGCCCCTTGCATTACAGATGTCAAGTGGGCGTTTAAATGGAAACATGTGAAGGGCGAACGCAAATCAAAGCTCGACTTTGCTTAAGAGGCTTCACGGAATCCGGCGCTGACAATCAAAGCAACTTCGCAGCCACCGCATCAAGGTTTAGGATTTTGCTCCAATCTTCGGGTATTTTGCGAGATCCCTAAACCCTGAACCCTAAACCCTTGACCCTAGACCCTGAACCCTGAACCCTACACCTTAAAACCCCGTTGACAAGGCCCTTAACGTCTTAACTCCCCCAAATCTTTTTCAAATCTGCTCAGCGCCAAAAAGTCTACCTTCCGGCAATCTCACAAGGAATATAGCCCCTAAACCCTAAATAGTAGTTTCCATTTCATGTTCCATTTTCCCAATATAAGCCCAATATAAGCCTAACATTACCCCAATGCCTGCTTTGGAGGACAGTAGACTTTGTAGGGCCTTTTTTAGGGGTTCTATGTCCAGTTAGGGGAGGGTAGTCACTCGTGGCTTCAGGGCTCGGGAGTTTGGGGTGTAGGCGCTGACTGTATCTAGAGTGACACCTAACAAAAAGTAAAGATACCAAAATGACAGGAACAATTCTTTTTTTAGGTGTAGATTGGGTACTGTAGGTTGGGTTTATAACTAAGGTTAAGGCACACAGGAACGGCAACCTGACAATAAGAAACGGAGATGCGCTCTCGGGGTTGGTAGAACCCGAACGGTGGGAGGTGCATGTTTCTATCGGGGCGAAACAATTAATTACCAATGTTATGGTCCTAGATTCCTTGTATACTTGTGGTAGATGGTGCCTAGACTTCAAAGCTGTGTTGGTAATAAAGTTTGGTCCCCTTATTATGCATTTTCCTGTATGTCAGCTGTGTAGAACATCAGGACCCCCTACGCATGCCTACCCAAAGACCTTTCTAGCCAGAAGTAGCGCAAGCCTTTTTGGTTGAATCTCCCAACTCTTGGGCGTTTCAGCTCGCAGATTTCCCTACTACCCCGCTTGGGTTCCCCATTTGTTGTGAGCCTTAGCCTTAGTTATCCTAAGTAACGGGGCGTTCAGCATTAGCCCATCACCAATCTACATGAGGAGCAGCTGCATAAATTGCGACCGACTGGGTCGAACATCTCATTGCCGCCACTGGGCTGTTGAACACTGGGGATCCTTGTCCATCAATATGGCTGATACTAACCAATCCTGCATGGCCTGTGCCTAATACATCGGGAATTATGGTTCACTAGTATACTGGGATGATGTAGGATTCTCAATACCAATGGTACTACCCATTCGGAGCTGTCGGGATCACTCGGGCAACACTTTGAAATGTTGTGCTTACTTGAACCCAATCTAGAATGCACAACGAGATGTTGCAGTATGCTCGTTTGAGGTTTGACTGTTGCTACGAAACGTTCTGCGACATCTCGGAATGCCAATTTCCGTGGCATTTTGGCTTAGGAAAGGGGAGTCCTCAAACCGGGAAGCTTTGCGATGCAGGAACTGATGTATAGGCTAAGTGTGAGTTCACGTATCGGACATGAAAATTATTTTTCGTTTAGTTCTTGTGTGTTTGGAGCCGCCGCCCTTGATCTTGTTTGGCTGTGGCTGCAAGGGACACCCAAGGCTTTTAACCCTCAATCCAAGAGCCTTTCATAATGGCTAACAAAGCTGCGGCCCTGTTTTTTGTCAGCGGTAGCTGCCGGTTCTTTTCAAGGCGGCAGTGTCCTGCACCACAAGCCATGGGAAGCCTACAGTGGACAATGCACGCCTTGTAAAATCATCAGCTTTATAGGGTTTAGGGAGTTTAGGTTTAGGGTTGGGTTTGCCCAAAAGAGGCGGCCCCCAAAAATCCATGAATTAGGGTTGTATTGGGCTTATATTGGGATTATATGGGGAGAATGGAAAAGAAAATGCAAACTACCGTTTAGGGTTTAGGGGTTTAGGGTTTGGAGCCCTTTGTCAAGCTGACAGACAATTAACAGGGGGCCGGTCTGACAAACTCCCCTAGAGGGTCCAAGTACGCTCAAGGGTTTTGGTACCTAAAGCCCTGCTACTTAGGCCCTTGGACACGTAGGGTCCCATCTGAGCCATCGTCTAAAATCCTAGTATCCCCCTTGATATCCTATATACTGGGCACCTCTACAATCCTTTATATAACGAACTTTAAGGAGTCTAGACTGCAGCTCCCCTAAACCCTAAACCCCTAAACCCTAAACCCTAAATTTCTATTGGGTCCTCACAGCAGGATTCTCAACCCAAAGCTTGGTGTGGCTAGGCAGTCCAAGCCTCCAGTACTAGCTTCATATTTCATAAGTGTCCCTTAACGTTAAGGGCTAACGGGGAACATGAGAGGAAATAAGAGCAGATGAGGGCAACTATGGATAAGTGAGGGCAAACAAATGCGAACAAACAAACAAACCCTAAACCCTAATGTTGACTTCACATTAAGA